TTTTCGGGAGGAAGGATCTCGGAAATGTTGCCGTCGGTAGGGAAAAGCAATATATTTAATTATCATTCTCTAACTAGTTATTTCTGTCGTTTTTTGGTGAAACCAACCCTAACCGAATGAAAACAGTAAAAACAAAATTACACGGCGCCTTAGTAAGTGATCTGTACGATAGATTCATCAGTTTTGCAATAGTGCAACTCCCGCTGCCTCTGCATAGAGGTTACAGTTTGAAAACCTATCAGATTTGTGTCAGTTCTACCAACTTGTCAATCATATAAAAACCCTATGTTTCTCCCCGAGCAAGACGATCGATCTCGTTGATTTTTGGCAATCGCGAACAGCTCTGTATCTTTTTCCTTGTTTCTGGATTCCTATCACGTACTACACTTTCTTCCCGCGTTGCCGTGCGACTTATTTTGCTGTGAGTTACGTGGTCTGAGCTCTACAACTGAACTCGTTAGACCCAAATCAGGGATCATTTAGTGCTACCGAATAAGATCAATCACACAGGTACTCAGTTGACCTGCTTTCATGTGTAGCCTTCATGTCCATAGTGAGTACCTTTCCAAAACGTTGGGTACGAGGTAAGCATAGTCAAAATAGCGATTCAAACGGAGGAAATCCATGGCACTTTTGTGCGGAGGTATGAGCGTCTTGTTGAACTGAACTGAGTTGGTGTGCACGCCAGCGTCTAGTTGAAACATGCCACATGCCTTCACAACCTATCAATCTCCGTAGTTTGGGTCTTTTTGGAGCTTTGATTCAGCAATGTAGCTTTTACTACAACAGTACACCAATTTTCTGGCCTAGTGCGAAAAGTACGTTGCTTGACGTGCGAGTCTTGACTGTGCTAGCGTTCACCGCTCCTTGAAGAGCATTCAGCAGTGGTTGTCCTTTCCTCGGTTGTTGGTTTTCACACGCGTGTTTCCATATCAAACATTCTTACATGCGTCGGGATTCAACTTATCTAACTGGAACTGTTGGTGGCATGACTTCGAATGAGACGCTTCCCTCGGTTTATCTCATTCTCCTGTAACCCGTTCACATTCATCGCTTGCATTCACTCTTCAAAAATAAACGGTAGTATGTAGAGAGTGGATTTAGCAAACACTGGTCCACCAAACTTGGTGAGCCCCACCTTCACGTTGAATTCCGTCACATGATGCCTGTCAGGTAATCAAAAGAATTTTACTCGTTCTGCTTACTGACTTGTACATAACAGGTTACCACCGCACCGGAAGATTCTCCAACTAAACCAATAGATCTTGGGGGAAACGTAACCGTTCCGGTACACAACAGATTTATGCAGGACTACCTAAATTTTGGCCCGCGCAAACAAACTACGATGGTATTTCAAACTTGTACCGGCGTCCCACGGCCCCTAGCTCCTTAGGAAACAAAACCACGCCTCGTTCGGGACTGCAAGCAGCATCTTAACAGAGCACGATAGTTCCTGAGTACCAGCGTGTGTATCCATTGAGTAGAAACCAATGTGACAACATATTTCCTGGCGAGACATGTTGCTTAAGATTATGCCCCATCACCTAGTGTGTTTTGCAGCATTTTTGGACGAACCCACTACCGCGCGGTCTCTTCCTCGACCAAAAGATATTAATGAATTTTCAAAAAGAAAACACAGACGGGCATGCCGTTGTTCCAAGTAGACTTTCTTGGAACCAACCGATTGTTAGGAGTACGCGAAGCACCCGACACATATTTATAAGAAAGTAGTAACACCAAAAAGCGTGCAGAGGTTTTCTGGTGCTGTGTATCCACCGCCCATCTAGAACTGCTCGAACTCCATTGGTGACAGTGTCCGTCTGTGAACTGTGCTCCGTTTCAAGACTTTTCACACAGGACGTCAATCAGGCTGTCATGGTTAATGTGACAGGATCAGTAGTTTCAACTACAGGCGCGGGTAAACCTAGGTCAGATACGGTTCATCATTATTCAGTTGAGTCTCTCGTGGAAACCAAATTGATTTGCACTGGAGTGTACTTCTCGAAGACAGTCCGATTTGGGTTCAAGTAGAACATGAGGTTGACAGAAACTCGGGGACTGCGCCTACCTGATGAGCCCCCTACCACGACGAAACTGACCGTGGGTTGTCGAAGATTTTTCAGCAACCTTGTGAGTAGTTTCCTCTATCAAAACATAATGCGATATCTTAAATATCGTACCAAATGAATCATGAGGCGGCCTGTGTGCAACACGTTCATTTGTAGAATATCATAAACGAGAGATTCAATTTAGTCTCGCGTGAAAACCAGATTGATTTGCAAATGAGTGTATTGCTTGAAAACTTTCTCTTCACTTCGGAAGCTGACTGCAGTTCTTTTACTCGAGGAAGCATTTTAGCTGCGAACACTCCGCCACTGATCGAAATACCGTTGTAAATGCCTGGAAGATTACGGCTGGGTTGTAATATGGCAGTACGTTGGTGGTTCGTCGGTCGTAAAGTACTGTGTTTGTGCTTGCACATCTCGCCAACCGGAGTCAACCTTCGTTTATGAATGCTCGCATGGTCCCACTTGTTTGTTTGTTCTCTGGTTGAAGAAAGTTGAGCTCAACTTCGGACTTGATCTGTCCGACTTGAACCTAGAGAATTTCGCTCTATCGGTGCCACAGTTATTATGGTTTCCGTGTGGAAAATCTCTCCTGAGCCAACAATTCCGTTCGGTTTTTGATGCGGGAAATTTCAAAATTCGAAAGATGAGAGTCGTAACCACAGTTGAAGTTGATTGAAGATTTAATCCATTTCCGACTAGCATGAAAGCAGGCATATGCACGAAGTACCGCGTCAACACTGACGCGAGTGTCCAGCATGACAGCTATCATCCGAGCTGCCTTAAATATAAGCTACTCAATTTTGATAAGTAGCACAAAGCTATTCGGGAACACCACAGCCGGAGTCCAAGATAGCGGGGAAACAAGACAAAACATACCAGCGAAATACACAGGTTTGCAAACACATTCGGTCTTGAAGGAAACTCATCTAGGACCTAGATGAAAGTCGTATATGATGTTTCGATGTCATTTATGTTCAAGTTGACGGAGACTCGGGGGCTGCGCCTACCTGATAAGCCTCAAGAAGGGCAAAACCGGTCGTCGGCTATCGAAGAATTCTCAGCAACCTTACGAGTAGTGCATTACTTCAAGACAAAGCACGGTAAATTATTTGTTATAGGGAATTTTCAGATCGCATATTGCATGAATGTTATTACCTACTTTGATAAAAATGATAAAGAAGTTTCCATTCCCGTGTTTTCTTTTTCATCCCCAAGAAACCAAATCCAGTGTGTGGCAGCTTATTTCATCCTAGACCGAGCCGAGTAGTTGGTGAAGAGGACTGTCTGTTCGACGTGAGTGACGCTCACGGTCATGCCTCTGAGAAAACTACTCGTCGAATATCTGCAGTTCACATAATCTCATCTGATACAAGTTGATTAGAGGCCAACTTATGTTCTGTCAGCACAGAATGTACAGAGGTCTCGGGAAAAAATGAACAAAGAGTGGCGGGTGAAATGAAAATTGTTTTTTAGCGACTTTACCTATCCTCAGAATATCTAACAAGGATAAATGAAATCGTGAATATATTTTCGCGATAGAAATCCAACTGGAATTAAGAGCAGATATCAATCCGTGTAACACTTGAATTTGTTAGACTGTGTCCGAGTTCATTTCTGTTTGCAAACAGAATATCACAACCCCCCGTCCAACGACCAAAATGGTTTAATGTGATTTGTTTATCTACATCAAGTTTCTATTGTGGAAATGGACTGTGCAATGCGGGTCGTCAAGTATTTTGCTCGGAATTATGAAATGTCGCTGCTTATTATTCCACGTTTCGGCCACCATAGGTGACTTCCCTCCGGAGTGTATTTTTTTAAATTTTCATTTTATTAGAGTTGATTGATTTGGAACGGGTAATTAGTTTGAAAACTTCACAATGGTTTATTTTTCTGGCGTGTCTTTGAGCACAAATACGTTCTGTTCTTTCAGGGTAAATAGATTGTCAATCATTTCTCCTGCATTTTGGGCACGCTCTTCCCGGAAGTTATAGGCCACGTTCTCCACAAGCTGAACACACCGTCTCATTTGAACAGAGTCCCTATGCCCAAGAAGATAGTTTTATGTTTTAGAGCATTTGTCACACCCGCCTCTTGTGATCGATATCCTCTTATGCCATAGTGGTTTCACTTTGCGTGTTATTCGTGCGCTCTGTAAATTTAGTTGGAGATCTGTAACCTTCCTGGCATGAACTGCATTTGTCTCAGACCTCACTGATCTTGCTTGGCACCGAAATGTTGCACTGAGAAGAGGACATCACCGAGATGTTTCTCTTTCATGTTCTTGTGGTAATTCGCATTAGTTTTCAGATCGACCAGACCGATCGATTTTCCAGTGTTTCGGGAGCTGAAACTGTTGAGAGGTCAAGTATCTCAGTTTCTTTATCCTTCACTGTCATTTTATGTAATTTGATGTTATAAAAGCTTCATGTTATGGGAAACATAAACATCTTTGTTATTCCGAATTAAGAACTATCTGCAAATCAACTTAAGAACCATCTGCAAATCAACAAGAAATTAGTATATCTAATGTCACCATGAAGCAGATAGTGGGGTAAGACGAAGAGCGAAAATGATCAGAAATAGGCTGTTAAACTATCGGTCGGCGTATCACAAAAAGTAGAGAAGTAAGAAAAAAGTGGCGAATTTGAGATGCCGGTGGCGAGCAACGGGTTACAGCATGATATCTCCCCTTGAGGGCACTCGATATTTTCCAGACTGGGCAAGTTACATTCTCAAAGATGACTACGAGGAAGGCAAAAGTGCTTATATAGTAATAATAGGTTTATTTTTCAAGTTGTAGGAACATGCCGATTGAGGCATCGGGAACATGCCGATTGAGGCGTGATCGGGTCATTACAACTTGGACGCGGCAGGCAACAACAAAGCAGAGTGCAATGTACAATCAACGNTTTATTTTTCAAGTTGTAGGAACATGCCGATTGAGGCATCGTCGAGTCATTACAACTTGAACGCGGCAGGCAACAACAAAGCAGAGTAGTATGTACAATCAACGAATCACTTCCATGTGGGCTACAAAGAAAGATCCACGAGCCGATTTACTTTAAGCTGAATTTATTTTGGATCAAATGCATCCATGATTTTTGGCGCGCAAGCAATTTTACAGCTGCACTACCGCGACGCAGTAAGCCATGAGTTCGCCTTCAGATACGTTTACTGAAAAAATGGTGGCAGTCCACTTTTCAATCTTCACGGCACTTGCAGCGCAAAACTCGATTTACCAAAATAGGTTACACACAATTTACGATATTTATGCCGTGCATCTACTTTCTAAAATATTATGGGTACAATCCACATGCCGGCAGCACAACGTCCCTGGTGCCTTTGGTAGCTCCTCGAGGTACATGAAATGAAGAGAGATACACGCAGTAGGTCCACAGTAAACACGGAGTAGCGAGTGCAGTACTTTTCATTTACGTTACGAAACATTTTTCCCCATTTCGAGACGTTTGTCGACCCTGAAACTGTGCTCCCATGAGCAAAGCACCTACACAAAGAATCATCAGAGAAACGCATTGGCCGTAGACATTAACTATTAATTGGTGTCCTTAAAAACATCTTAGAACCTCAGAAGCCATTTTCTTCCGCTGATTCAATTCGGCATAGCCCGCGAAACAATGGTCATCTGTTTTCAAAATCTGTGTGAAGTGAAAGTCCGCACATTAGTGCCATAGAATAGAGCCTTATGATGGCCAAATCAGCTGGAGCTAGCAAAGTAAGCTGGGTATATCTGTTAGACTGCCAAGAAAACCATGGTTGTTTTTTATCGACTTCACAACAGCGACACCAGAGAGTCTGCAGTTTTGCTGCACACCATGCTTCTTAAATTCCTGTTACCACTTATCCTCTTTGATATTCCCTTTACTTGAGAGAAAGGGGTATATTCCCTCGCTCACTTAGAATCGCGAGGCTATATTGGGTAAATGGCTTCCGGGGATTTGTTCAAGAACATTGCAGAAGTTAACAGTTAGGGCATTTATACAGCCTTTTGACGGGATTTGAAAGCGTTTGGAATGTAAATTAGACATCACCGCATATAGCGGAACTTGAGATAAGGAAGTTTTTGGCAAGGTTCCGGTTAGGACACCCTGAACAAGACAAGGCCATTTGCGAGGCTTTTTGCAGGTCACGCTTCTCGTTCTGGCTTCATTCAACAAAGCAGAAAGGTGGAGAAATCGGAATAAAGAGAAGGGAGTTCAAGCTGGTTTGCTGCACAAAATCCGAGTGAGGCAGCTGAGATTGTCAATCGCTTTATCAAAGAAGGTCAGAGCACAAAATCACAGTGGGATGTCTGGAAGTACTCAGGACCTTGAGGTTTTAGTAATGTTGAACAGAGTCTGTAGAAATGACGGTGGATAAAATCAGCCTGATTGTTTACCAAAATGGATGCACGGAGCTGTTATAATAATACTCAAAATAATGTTCATTCTCAACTGGTAGGCGGCGTACTGTCAAACATGATCATAATGTTACAGTCAGAATAGAAACATGACTGGCCAGGATTGTGGGCACAGGAGGGTTGGGGAAAGGGACAGCGTCAAAACGGATGGGCATTATCCGATGTACGCGTGATCACCATTAAACCAGCACGGGCAGAGAAGCACAGTTACTATATGCTGTTCGATAGAGTATCGAGCAGGATCGAATCGTTGGGAGTTAAAGGTGGTGGGCAAAAAACAAAGCGGGGGAGGGCAAAACAAGGGGCTCCCTGTCTGACGCATGACAAGATAGGTGTAACAGTGAAAAATGAGTAACAAAAACTTCAGATCTGGTGGGGCAGCAGACTTGGCGTCATTCAGCCGGACTTATTGAACTGAAACCTAAAACTACCGCTGGTGTCTAGTGGTCCTGGACTGATGGACTCATGGCCAGGGTGACAAAAGCGTAAGTGGGGATGATGAACTGGAGGGATTATCAAAGCGGATAAGCGGTAACCGGGATCCTAGAAAACATGGTGTACAGCGAAACTGTAGAGACTTACTAGTGTTGTGGAGTCGGGCATAATAGTTCCCTGGAAGAATGAGATGGTGGCAAAACATGAGGGGAAACACGAACNCACGAACTGTATAGAAAGCTATTGAATTTGGCGGGAAGCGCAGACAAACAGAAATAGTTAAATTCAAACGAAAGGTCCAGCAGTTTGGAATGAACATGTCGTGGAAACAGCTACGGTCAGGTGGGGAGCTTGTTCGTATTTGCAGTTAATGGAACGAATTGGCGAGAGTGTATGGTTGAGAGACGGAAGGGAATAGTTGCGAGTGTACTTCACACTGAGTATGGTAGTGCCGTGCCATCATTGGCCTGACATACTTCGTTTTTTGTACGGTCCCTTAACGGACGTAACGCTGGGATGAACGATTCTTTGAGCAACGGGATTCTTTTCAGGCAGGCCGAGTAAACGCGGTGGAACGAGGCCGATACAGGATCGGAGGGTTTTTGGTCCGTTTGTGGAACCTGTGAATGTAGATCACAGTCCAGGTTGAGTGAATGAAAGCAAACCAGCTCGTTCCAAGCGGGTATCACTGAATTTAAATGCTTGGGAAGATGAGAGGTTTGGATGAGATGAGTGAAGCCACAGAAACAAGCCATCCGAGTTCTCCTTGAGAGGCAGGGGTGGGAAACCCACAGGTAACCCGGTAGTGGTATTTGAGGTTTACAGAGACGAATTTCTCCTCCCAACCGAGCCCTCCTGCCTATTGGTTTCATTGATCCCAACTACTACCATGACATTAATTCCAACCTGTTGGACTGCTCGTTCGAATTCAACAACCTCTATGTCCCCATCCAACCTAACCCCTGCACCTGGCTTCCCCACAACATTGCAACCAGTGAGTCTGTTTGCTCTCAGATTGCGCCATACTTTTGAGACTAAACTTGCCATGTTCCTCCAATTCGAATTATCCTATCTCCACCTCCACTTTGCTCGTTGTGACTCCGGCCATTTACACAACTGCCCAAGGTCACTCATGGCCAGCATTGGTTGTCCAGTCTTCATCACGATGTTATCTGAAT